ACACACACACACACACACACACACACACACACACACACACACACACACACACACGTCTCTAGAACAAAAAGACAATGGAATGAGACCCGACACTTTTCAGAAAAGAACAGGGAATTTTTACCCTTTGCAAGTGAAATAGAGGAGACCTGAAAGTAACCACCCTGCCAAAATTTGCTGAGAGAGAAGGGCTGGGGCATGACTCAGTTGGGAGAGTGCTTACCGGCATATGTCTACAAAGGCTTGGGTTCAGTCCCCAGCACTGCCTCGACTGGGTGTGGCAAGGATTACCTGGACTACATGAGACTCTGATACACACACCCACACACCCACACACCCACTCAACAACCCCCCCCCCCCGGCCCCCTCCGCTCCATACCAGCTAAGGAGAACAACCAGTCATTTAAACTTATAAATGCTTTGGCAGAAAAAGGTCAAAGATTTGAGAATGAGTTTGCCATGCAGGAAAAGATAAGGTTTTCTAAATTCTTTTTCAGATTCCAGCAAACGGAGACTGACTTCACACCTAACATGGCGGTACAAGTCTACAATGATAGCACTCAGGAGACTACAGCAGGAGGATCAAACTCCTGGCCAGCCAGGGAAGTCTGAAGAAAACAAGTGGGGTGGGGGTCTCGGGGTGCTTCAGGTGGTGTCTGGACACCACACATCATATTTTTATAACCGTACATTGTCTTAAACTGGACATGTATTCTCCTGGTTTTAGAGAATGAGAAGTTAAAAAGCAAGGGAATAGGGTGGGGTGTGACACTCAGATCTCTTAAAGGATGCTCATCCCATCAAAGGGCTCATCCCATTATCTCCCAAACTAATCACCTCCCAAAGACTCCACAACACTGGGCGGGGGAGGGGTTCTTATTTAACATAGGAATTTGTGAAACACAAACACTCAGCCCATAACAATGGCTCTAGATTAACAGAGCCCACACAATTATCAGTCGCAAGCTATTGGAGACTGTTGTATTAGCATTTCAAAGGGTGTCAAAGGCCTGAAGGAAATGACTTTTGTATGGCAGCCATTTTAGCAACAAGGGTTCAGAAAGGTTTTCTGGGATGGCCTGAAGGTAGAGAATCAACTCTCCAAAGCCCCAGAGCCCTAAACCAAGGCTGCTTCTTTATAGAAGATCATTAAAAAGAAAGAAAATTCACCAGGCATTGGTGACGCAGGCCTTTACTCCCAGGACCTCGAGGCAGAGGCAGGCAGACCTCTGGATTTGAGGCCAGCCTGGTCTACAGAGAGAGTTCCAGGCCAGCCAGGATTACACACAGAGAAACCCTGTCTTGATCCCCACTGCACTCCCCAAAAAGATCAAAGCACAATGTTAGAGACTGCAGCTGGGATGATGGCTACCAACAAACATTTTCCAATCTTCTTCAGTTATGTCTAAAATCTGTGATACTGTTCCAAGATCTAGTGCCCCCCTCCCCTAAAACATAAAGCTTTAGAGAGCTTATGTTCTATCTTTGTGGTACTTTAAATGAGAATGAACCCACAGACATACATTTGAATACTAGGTTCCTAGTTGATGGGACTGTTCAGGAAGGATTAGGAAGTGTGGTTTTGTTGGAGAAGGGCGTCACTAGGGGTGGGCTATGAGATTTTAAAAGCTCATGCCAAGCTGGGCAGTGCCTTTAATCCCAGTGGGCACATGCCTTTAATCCGAGCACTAGGGAGGTAGAGCCAGGCGGATCTCTGTGAGTTCAAGGCCGGCCTGATCTAGAGTGAGTTCCAGGACAGCCTCCAAAAGCTACACAGAGGAACCGTCTAGAAAAACCAGAGAACAAACAACAAACAAAAAAAACTCATGTCGAGCCCAGTCTTGTTCTCTCTGCCTCCAACTTGCTAATCAGGATGGAAGCTCTCAGCTAGTGGCAGCACTGTGCCTGCCTGCCTGCCTGCCTGTTGGGATGCTTCCTGACAGGATCATGGATTAGCCCTCTGAAACTGTCAGCAAGCCCCAGTTAAATGCTTTCCTTTATAATTTGCTACGGTCATGGTGTCTCTTCATAGCAGTAGAATACTAAGGAAGACAGAAGTATCTGTCTGAACTACTGTGTAAGATGATTTTGGTTTGGGCTTTTTTGTTTTGTTTGAGACAAGGTCTTAAATCATCCCATGCTAGCCCTGCCCCTACTTCCACTGTGCTGAATTATATGAATGGGTTGTTACGTCTAGTTGATGGGGATGTACTGGGACTTCCAGGGCTTCTACATATTAGGTGGTCACCCCGAGCCCCAAAACAATGTTTTTATTTTTTTATCTTATATTTATATAAGCTGGAATCTTGTTATGCTGCCCAAGTTGGTGCCAAAAGCCTGTGTTTAAGTCATCCTCCCGCTTCAGCCTCTTGAATAGGGGGACAACAGGCACGTGTCACACTGCCCAGTGATGGTGGATTTTTGTTTGTTTTTCGATACAGGGTTTGTCTGTGTAGTTTTGGAGCCTGTCCTGGATCTCGCTCTGTAGACCAGGCTGGCCTTGAACTCATAGGTCTACCTGCCTCTGCCTCCCCAGTGCTGGGCTTAAAGGCATGCGCCCCCACCGCCTGGCGATGGTGTATTTTTAATTGGGTGGTGTGGGAATCCTTGTATGGTTCAAGCTGATTTTGAATTAGAATGTTTTGACTAAAATGTGTTCAAAGTCTCCCGGTCTGGGTTTGAATTCATTCTGGGCCACACTGAGAGACACAAAGCCTATTTATTCAGTGCAGACAGTAACTACTATCACCAGATGCACTAAATGCAATGACCGAAAGGTCAGAATGTGCTCAGGATTAGAACTCCCTAATGTTAATTAACAGTGAATGAATGCCCAAGTTCAAAATGCCTTGGAAGATTAATAACTCATTGTCAGCCTAGCTGAGTCTGCATCCACCCTCTGGAGACTTGTTAGTCATGAAGTCTGCAATGGGTGTGAGAAGGGCAGGAGTCGCTGTGTGTACTTCTCTGTCTTAAGGTTCCAGTGTTAGCAGGATTGAAAAGCACTACTTATCCAATCTCTTTACTTCACAGAAGATTAAGTCTCTTTAAATGACTACCCCAAGATCCCATAACTGAGGTGAATTGAATCTGCAACTGGATGAGGCAGTTGGTGACAGAAGACATTAGTGTAGGTACGACACTCTCCTTCCTATCACCTGACACTGAGTGGGTATACTGTGTGTTTCAGTTCCTTATGGTCTTCACACCAAGAGCCAGATGATTCCCTATTATCTGTTTATGGAAAATATTGATCTTATAGGAGCCCCAGCAGCACATGTGGGGGATGATGTGGAGATGGTTCAGGTAGCAAAGCACCAGCCTCAAATGCATGAAGACAGGAGTGGGGTCCTCAGAATGCTCAACGAAAGCCAGGCAGAAACCCTATCTCAAAATACAGGGTGGAGGATGCCTGAAGACTAGCACCTAAACAACACCTGAGGTGCACATCTCCCAGTCTGGCGCGCGTGTGCGCGCGCGAGCAGCCATCAGAACTGAGATGTCCCAGCCAAGCACCAGCACCAGTACTAACTGCCTGCTGTGTGACCTGTCAGCCAGCCCTGGGCTGAAGGGAGTTAGCTGTAGGGGCAAGGCCAGGTGAGGAGGAGCTGCCAGGCAGCCCATGGATCCTACCCAACTTTGTCAGACAGTATCAGAGAACTAGATTGCTGGCTTCAAGATGGGCAAAGTAAAGCTTTGGAAGGGTGAATATACAAGGTAACACAATATTGAGAAACATAATTCTAACCAAGGTCTGTCTGACTTAAAAGCTGCTATCATCTAGTGCTGTATTTACTTAAAATGGTTTTTCCAAAACTGCATCATATAAAACTGCAATCAAAACAGTAATTCTACTGATACAGACCATTGCTATTAAGGGTTCTAATAATTGTGCTCATTTCCCCCTAGACAGCCAAAGTAAAACTTTTGGAAAAGAAAAGCTGCAGGTAAGATGCTATCTGGGAAGACTGATTGACAGTTATAACCTGATCCTACAAACCCCAAAGCATTGACTGTGGTAATCTAATCCTAGTATTCCATCTATTTCCAATAGTTCCCCTGGAGAGAAATCACATAACATTCACACATACACACACGTACCTGATTATCTTTCTTTTCAAATCCCAGCCATAAACACCCCCACTTCCTTTGTAGCGAGTTCCAGAGACAATATCAAAATTACCCTCCTTTTGTTTCCTGTGGGGGGGAAA